TGGTTCAGAGATGAATATCTCAGACGCGAGTGCATCATCTGGACTGCCGTTCGGCAGTGTTTTAGCTAGGGGCCCAAGATTACTTTCCGCAGGAGATCACGCGTATGTCCAAATTTGCCTGGATGCTGCCTTCCCAGCGTCTCATTCGGTTCGTTTCAAATTCTGGTGCATTTTGAAACTTTTTTATCTTGCTGAATCCGAATACGGGCTCCAATCTTGTGAAAGCTTAAAACGGAGCAAGCTATTGCTCCTTTCAAAAAGAAGGTTTGAAATGGACCAAAAACTGAGACTGAACAACAGAAATTTCTGCAGTTGATAGTCTTTTCCCTGGGCGGGGGGACATGCGAGCTACCCTGGTGGCTCCGTGCCGTCTAGGTATGTGACTTTGTTCTGCGGGTGCCAAACCAGGGCATGAGCGTCAATTCAGGTTGCGGTTTCCTTTGCGCTGTGAATACAAATCCAAAGCGAATTGGTCAAGACGCTAAAAGTTTCCGCCACTTCACCGCAGTTGAGACTTAAAAGCTCAAAAACTTAGTGGCGTCGTGTTGCTTCTACAGGTCATGATGTGCGTTCGATAAGTTAAGGGTGGTTGCAAAGTAAAGTTTTATAGATAGTTTTATGCGCTGATTTGCGAAATTTGGCGTTTGATTTATGTAAGAATAACTCTGGAATAGCGCTAGTCTGCCTACGTCGTTTAAAGCTGTTTACTCTTCTGCTTTAACCACATTAGAAATGTTCTCACTTATGCTATAAACCTTTTGTTTATTTGTTTTAAAAATGTTGGAAGATGTTAGATACATGCGGGCATCGTTTCAAGCGATAGCGCCAAGAGCCATCTAAAAAAGAAAACCCCTTGATTGGTTGTGTCATTATTTGAGTCAGCTGTGCAGTACCATATGTATATTTTGAGCGAAAATTCAGTGACAACGTTTCAAGTATTGTAAGCAGAAGCCGCGGATGTGATGAATAATCACATACAAGAAGGGAGCAAGCACTAAAAAGCCTCAAAGAGGAGAAAGAGAGTAAATGAACTGAGACTAGTTTCTTACATCTACAGTGACCGCCAAAAAGTTGCGGACAAGCCTCCCTCCCTTTTTCATCTTTTTCAGAGAGAAAACAAGGATGAAAAAATGTAATAATTGCATGATGTGATAGAGCTCTTCAAGATATACAATCTACACTTTGAGTTTTCTGAGAAACATGTGTTCTAAAAATTTTAAGAACCTTTTTCTAAAAAAAGTCCGAAAATGGCCGCGTCACAATGTCGCGGACAATAATTCTTCGAACGCAAAAATTTTCTTTTGAGTCCTATTTTGAAGCGGAAACACAAGTTATCCGGATGGGCAAGCATACTACTATACAGAGTTCGTCAAGAACTACACACTGGTTACGGTTGCTTCCCCAGAAAACGCAAGCTTGAGTTTTATTTTAGTTTTTTCAAAAAACAACTTCTAATTTCCTGTATCAAGCCAAATTTCTTCACACGGAAACCTGTTCAAGACATCCCAACAAAGCCTTCTGGATAAAATAGATGCTCTTTGCCATCCTCTATGCATCGGACGTGTGCTGATGAGTTTCTTGGCTGAAAATGGCCCTTGGCAGTGCTTGCACATGACCCCACCTGCACCTCACCATTGACTGTACCGCTTTGCAGGCTTGTAACTCGGCCTGCAGTCAATATTTGAGCCTGCAATTAGGCTCATTCGAAAGAGCGTGAGTTCCTGGACACGATGATATGCAAATGAGTTGAGTTTGAAAAATTTCAGAGATTTGGCGGATGGGGTGAAAAAGTGCAGCCTTAGAGATGATTGGAGTGAAAGCTCTTATGTACACCAGAATGGTCTTGCAGCTTCGAAATAGATTTATTACAAGGAAATTGACAGTTTTGAACTTCCAGGATGAAATTGGTAGCGAAAGGAGCTCTCTTGATCTTTAGCGGAAAAGTGCTGAGACTACAACTGAAGCTGCCCTCTACCACCCTATCCGCCAAATCTCTGAGATTGCTCAAACTGAACTTATTTGCATACTATCGTGTAGAGGAAGTCTCGTTCTTTCGAACGAGCCTAATTGCAGGCTCAAATATTGACTGCAGGCCGAGTTACAAGCCTGCAAAGCGGTACAGTCAATGGTGAGGTGCAGGTGGGGTCATGTGCAAGCACTGCCAAGGGCCATTTTCAGCCAAGAAACTCATCAGCACACGTCCGATGCATAGAGGATGGCAAAGAGCATCTATTTTATCCAGAAGGCTTTGTTGGGATGTCTTGAACAGGTTTCCGTGTGAAAAAATTTGGCTTGATACAGGAAATTAGAAGTTGTTTTTTGAAAAAACTAAAATAAAACTCAAGCTTGCGTTTTCTGGGGAAGCAACCGTAACCAGTGTGTAGTTCTTGACGAACTCTGTATAGTAGTATGCTTGCCCATCCGGATAACTTGTGTTTCCGCTTCAAAATAGGACTCAAAAGAAAATTTTTGCGTTCGAAGAATTATTGTCCGCGACATTGTGACGCGGCCATTTTCGGACTTTTTTTAGAAAAAGGTTCTTAAAATTTTTAGAACACATGTTTCTCAGAAAACTCAAAGTGTAGATTGTATATCTTGAAGAGCTCTATCACATCATGCAATTATTACATTTTTTCATCCTTGTTTTCCCTCTGAAAAAGAGCGATGAAAAAGGGAGAGGGGTTTGTCCGCAACTTTTTGGCGGTCACTGTATATTTGAGTTCTGAAAGATCAAATTGAGAAGAAATTTACACTCAAGCGGTTTCGGGCCTTAGAACTATACCGGTAGAGTAGCTTTCCTGGAGGCCCTCTTCAGTAGTTCCCAGGAAAGCGCAAAAGTTCGTGAAAGCATATATTTTAGTGCTATTAGAGAGCCGAAAGGAGTTAGTTAAATGCAAGTGAAACAAAAAACATGGATAACAGCAGGAATGCGGATAAACTATGTGCAAATGAAATGAGGTCTCGCCATCTACTCAGATATATATATATATATATATGTATATATATAGGGTGTTCCAAAAAAATGTATCGAACGTTTGATCGTTAATATCTCTCTTCTAAAGCAGTCTTTTCTCTTGCTTCAGGTACCAATCTGCAGAAATGGCTTCAACTTGGATTTGCATTATAGAACGAATCACTCATTTCTCTTCATTACTATAGGATTACGGTAGAAACTTCAAAGAGGGTTTTAAGCAATGAAAGGCCATATTTTGCCTCAGAAAGGAAACAAAACAGCTTGAAAGCTTTTACACTAGGCTAATTAGAGTTGCTGATTATAACTGTAAAGTTCTCAACTTATTATGATGTCTTATTGAAGAGTTATGCCAGTAGGGGGTAGCGGCCATTTTTTCAAGGTTCCTAAAATGTGCGGTTACACCGTTTAGAAAGCTTCGAATTTTGAGAATAGTTGAGTATTGAACTCAGCGTCCATAAAAACCCCAATACACATGTTTTCACAATTTTTTGAAAAATTTTGAAACGGCAGCTTTTTCCACGTTGACACCATATGTTTCAAGTTTCTACCGTAATCCTACAGTAATGAAGAAAGATTCGTGATTCGTTCTATGATGGAAATCTAATTTGAAGCCAGCTCTACAAAACGGTGCTTGAAGCAAGGCAAAAGACTTCTTAGGAAGAGAGATATTAACGATCAAACGTTCGATACATTTTTTTGGGACACACTGTATATATATGTGCCTGGTTTGAATGCGACCTAATTATTCTGGCGCGCGGGCGCGTACAGCCTAATGGTGAGATCAAATATTGAAAAATTCACTGGACTCTAAGGCTTCCCAGGCCTATGTTCTTAGTGCATGCTGCTGCATTCGTGAAGGGTATTTAAGCTTGACTATGAGCATTATGGAGATTATTCCTACAAAAGTTTGAACCTTAAATTAATTTCCCAGTGTAATTATCCAACTAAAAATTCTGTTACACTGAGTCTAGCGTATATGAATGATATTTTGTGAATTGAAATCATGTCACCCAGAGTTCCCTTATTTCATGAACAAAAGGTGTACAGCTACATCAAAGCCATATTTACGAAATATGTAAGGGTTATCCCTCAAAGTATGACATAAGGTCCTGATTAGTATTCTTTCTTCCCATCCATTTTTCTTGGAAAGTCTTGCCAGTTGCAAAAGTCTGTTTTTGAAAGTGATGTAATCTGAACAATTTCTATATATTTGTTTCGGTTTTAAAAGTGTTGGTAATGATATATCTGGGTACATTTGATTGCCAGATTGGATATGTTTTGTTATATAATGCGAATGCTATGTTACTGTTTGTTACTTTTGTGCTCATGTCTAGAAAGCTTGTTTCATCTTCCTTCGTGTTAGTTTTTTCTATGATAAGCTCGTTGTGTAAAATGTCCATCAAGGACCGTTCGAAATCGGTGGCGTATTCGGAGATATGTAATATATCATCAATGTATCTGTATATGTTGTTGAATCTATGTAAGTTCCTCGCATTATTGTTTGCTTTCATTCTTTTGATAAATTCATATTCCATATATGATAGAGTTAAATCAGCCATGTGAGGACTGCATGAAGCCCCTTGTGGAATGCCTCTCTCCTGCTTGTCTACCATACCTGCGAAACTAAGATAACTATTATCGAGAAGAGAGTCTATCATATATAGTATATCTTCTATTTGATAATCGTTTCCTTTAGCTTTCGTAACATTTGAGTACATTCCTTTCCTTTTTCCTAAATTCCTTTTCCTTCAAGAACAATAATGCTTTACTTGACACCGACTTTATCACAAACGCACTGCTTTCTTGTTCCTTCTTTGACACAAAGGTATCACTCTATAAATAATTTTATTCAAAATTCTATTTATAGGGCTGTTTGCTCTGAACCGTATGCAAATGAAGCGCCAGTAATTTCAATGTCAACGCAAATTTATGTAACCAATGAATGACCACACTATTGAATTGCATGAGACTAAAACAAACAGGTAAAAATGTTTATGGATATCTTCACTTATGCATGTTATATTTTAGTACATCATTCAACTTGCACAAAAATCTCTCAAATACTTTTTTCCAAAATCACGAGCAAGGCAACTATTTTCATGCGATTGTGCAAACAATACTGGCCAACACCAGCCACAAGAGGTGGGATTTGACAGCATTATGAGGATTATTGTCAAAACTCAGGCTCAAAGGTTGGTCCTGATATGTTTTGGCCATTGACATCACTTATTCTTGCTGTGATTGCTATATTGCTGATTGCCATCAATATCAAGGAAAGGTGAGCAGAGTAGTTCGTCGCTGATGCTTCTCGCTGAATTCAACTTTTACAGCTTAGCCTTTTAAATGTTGGAATCATCTCCACATTAATGCCATTAATGACTAGAGTTACAGAAGAACAAAAAATATATTTTTCACATTATATTCTTCTATGTGGTAAACTACTAACTGACATGTATAGCGACCATATGCCAAATATCCGCTGCCATTGATCGCAATCGTCAATAATAATACTCTATTCGGCCTAGCCGTAAATAGATGCCTCTCAAATGAAAGTGTTGTGTTTTAAGTTGCGGTTCTGGCTTGAGTGATCGTGAAGGCCCAAAAACCAGTTTTAAAAGTTTTTTCCGTGGTTGTTGGTCGACCAGTCTTGCTCCTTGTTTGCACTTCTACTTCAAAATCAAAAATCGGACTTTGAATATATGGAGTTCGAAGCAAATCATTTGATGAACCTATATAGGCGCGTCTTTTTGCGGCCCTCAATCTCCGGAAAGCTTTCAGAAGTTTTCAGTTCGCAAATTAGAAAATTATTGGGTTGTCTAAAAAGTTTGTGCATTTTTTGTTTCAGTTTTTTTTCAAAATACTTTGCTTCATACCTGGCAAAGTATCAACATTTTGAAGAATCTAAGACCACTTTATAAGCATACTTTTAACATCCTGATTTTTCGAAGGATTTAGAAAAAATCCTAAATTTGAAACAGAAATCCAAAGAGGCAAAAAATCAAATTTGGACTTTTTTTCTACATTCAACTTTTCCGTTTACCAATGGTAAATTTCATTTTAACAAACGTGACAACAGGATCAACTTGTTAATTCTTTACTTTGTACTCCCTCAACTCTAATTTTTTTCGGTACGTACTAACTTATAAACTCAATATTTTTGCAACCGCATATCAACCTTCTGCCAATCGAAAAAGTCTGTGGGTATTTTTGTTAGGAAAGCATTCAGTTGCTCAAAGTCGACTTTGAAGAAACATTAAAAATGAGACCTACATGCAAACTTGAAAGTATATTCTCAAAATTTGGGCACTACTGGGCAGGCTTTATAAGCTATAGCATTGTCTCCGTTCACGCTACAAATTTTTGGAGTTGTTTGATAAGAATTAAGCCCGTTCTAAGGTTAATTATAGCTGTTGAAAACGGTAAATTTTACTTTGTCAGATTTCCAAGTTGAAAACTCCAAAATTCCACCGATTTGATTTACCGAAACAGTGATTACGACAGAGCAGGAGAGATCTTTTGGAAATATTAGGTGGGTCACAAAGTTCGTTCGCCAGATTTTCAAAAATTCACAACTTCCTTCCTTCTTGGTGGAATTTATTGAATTTATTCCTGTTCAAAAGAGGAAACCTTTCTTTTTACAACAGTACCTTTGGCATAAAACAGCGTGAGAAATTTTGAGAGTTACAAGCAGTTGAATGAAATCACTCAAGATCGGCACTTTTCAAGCAGGGTCACGAAAAATTCTGGAAGTATTTTTATTTGATAGAGTAAATTTTGCTCATTACAGTGGTGCCTTTTTCATGAATTAAAACGATGTAGATCAAGAGTTAGAAATGAATAAAGAGAATTTCTTCATTTTTGCAATTTTTGAGCATGCTCAAAAAAGCTTGAAAACGTCACAGAAAATGCGAAAAAGTCATAAACATAGGTTTTGTGACCTTCCCTTTCTAGCTGAGTGAAAATCGTGTCAATCGGGAGCAATTTTAATTTTCATGAAAAACGCAGACCCGAAAATCCGAATAAATCGCGAAAATGAAAATTGCTCCCGATTGGCACGATTTTCGCTCAGTTAGAAAGAAAAGGTCACAAAACCCATGTTTTTGACTTTTTCGCATTTTCTGTGACGTTTTCAAGCTTTTTTGAGCATGCTCAAAAATTGCAAAAGTGAAGAAATTCTCTTTTTTTCATTTCTAACTCTCTATCTACATCGTTTCAATTCATGAAAAAGGCACCACTGTAATGAGCAAAATTTACTCTATCAAATAAAAATACTTCCAGAATTTTTCGTGACCCTGCTTGAAAAGTGCCGATCTTGAGTGATTTCATTCAACTGCTTGTAACTCTCAAAATTTCTCACGCTGTTTTATGCCAAAGGTACTGTTGTAAAAAGAAAGGTTTCCTCTTTTGAACAGGAATAAATTCAATAAATTCCACCAAGAAGGAAGGAAGTTGTGAATTTTTGAAAATCTGGCGAACGAACTTTGTGACCCACCTAATATATTCGCATTATACCAAAGGAATCAAAATTTGCGAACTTATTGCAAAACCTATTATGCAAAGATGGGTTAATTGCTGGAGTTTGCAAGTAAAGCTGCTTATCTTATCATTTCTCTTTTTGCTAAACCAACTTTTCACACACCAGACAATCCCAAGCTGCCGTGTATCAAAACTAGTTGAGATCAGCCTTTCTACTTTTTACTACATAATTGGGGATTAACTTTCTCAAAGCTTAAGAGAGCTTTTGCAGATCTTGGTGGCTGAATAGTCCTCTGATGATAAGCAAAAGTCGTATTCTTATCTTAGAACTCTCTTCTACCTTAAAGTGGGAGTTTTGTTGAGAAAGCTAAGTGTATTAAGCAAACAAGCCTGTACACAGGAGCCTTTATCATGACAACCCACTATATTTGTTAGTCGCTATATAAGTACATTATCAAATAAAAGCAGGATATCATCTCGAAAATTTCCAAACAGCTGGCAGCTCCAAACAACAATTGAATATAGCTTTTATAACGGCGAAAGTTTACGATATAGTCCACGATTTTTGTTTTTGAAGACATCTGCACCTGGATAAAGCCATTTGCATGACCGAACAGTCAAGTCATTATTTGTTTAGAAGCAGCCACTACAATGACGTGCTGGAGCTGGAGTTAGCGCTGCAAAGTACTGTTAGTGATAAGCTTAGATATAACCGAAGGTTGCTGAGCAGTGAAGAACCGATAATTTTTATTGGTATAGACTTTATCGTTTTTGTACGAGTATGCATAAAAAACATTCTAGGCGGTATACCGCGTTCCGGTACAACACTTTTGAGAGTAATGCTTGACTCCCACGAGGATATCCGTTGGTTGGTGGATCTATCTAGAGACTTAATTTTATCAGTGTAAAGTTTAGTGGCGAAGAAACACATGTGATACCTGAAATACTAGAGTGGAGGAAAAAATGGGAGAGAACGGATATGGCTGGATACGCTGAGTTGAGCGGTCTAAGTCAGCAGACTATTGACGATGCTACTTCGGCCTTCATTTCTGAGGTCAGAAGTTCAGTTTAGACTTCATTTATGCTTTGTGTGCTAATACCGACACACACAGCTGATCGCCAAACATGGATCGTTAGCCAAGCGACTCTGTAACAAAGATCCGTACACTGCAGAAACTATGGTATTTCTCAGGAGAATTTTTCCAAAGTCCAAACATATCCTCATGATTCGTGATGCTCGAGCTATTATTCATTCAATGCTTAAGAGAAAAGTACCAGTTCATGGATACAATCGTTCGGATCATCAGGTAAGGTTGATGTATATTACTGCGTAAAATCTTTTGATCACTCAATAGCCGCTCAATTCTTGATTCCTTATCGTACCCTTTTGTTTGACAGTAGGCTTGAATTCCAGAGTTTTTTTGTTGCTGCATTATTCGTCAAGTTGAAAAAGTTAACTTTTGAAAAAGTATTCCAAATTGAAGTTCGAGGATCGCATTGAGATAACTTGGTCAAACTGCTGAGTCTGGCACTAGGGCTTCGCTTGGGGCGGCAAATGAATAACTTTGAAACAAATTTGCCTTTGCCACTTCCCATTTTTAACAAATTCTCAACTGATTGCTTCAGTTGGAAATGTTCGATTGGAGCACGTTTTCTTCCTCGGAAGGAGCGCTGTAGTTTCTATTTCGGACCCTAACAAAGAGGAGAGGAAGAGTCTGAAGCCAAAATTTTGCTATACAGTTAAGTTGAGGTCTAGGACTTTATGTGAGAATCTTGAAAGTTCTGCCATCCTCAGGGTAGCATTGGATGGGCGTTGCTCACCTAAATTGGAAAACAGTTAAACACGGTCTTTATTTGAATAAGTTTCTCATAAAATATCATGCATTGTTCCAATTCCCTTTGCGCAAATACGCACCGATTCGGAGCATGCTACTTGTTTTGCAGATGAGTGTTCATTCATGTAAAAATTCCACTTATTCCCTTTTCATTGATGTAAAAACTCTCGGAAAAAAGCTTGCCCAACTTTTCAGTCACACAATTTTTCATAGTGCTCTGCACCATGCTCCCCCTTGCTCTTGTCCGTTTATACGGAGAGTAGAGTATCCATCAAACCCAAGACCAAATTTGAGTCACATCGTTGTGCGCGCATTGCAAACGGGCGGTTAATTACTCCTAACCGAAAAGAAATGTGGATTTTTCGAAGTTGCCGCGCGACTATCGTGTTTTTGCAACCGTCTAACGACCTGTCAAAGGACTACGTAGTGCATCTAAAGTGACAATTACGATATCTTCTTTGCTTTTTTTCCTATAACAATTTTAAGCTTGACATGCCACTTCATGCCGGCTTCTGCCTAGCCTAACCGATCTTATTTATTTATCTGCAATCGTAAAGTGTTGTGCCTAATTAAAAAATTGCAACCTCTTGCTATTTGAATGACTTCCCGGAAGTGATTTTGTTGGACAGCAGACATTATGTAGTTTGCACAGACGCCTTGTCAGGTTTTCTGTGGAACACAGATTGCAGAAATGATCGGTAGTTTTGATTCGCAAAAAATTCAAAACTTCGCAAATTAGTCCAAGCTCAACGAAGGTGTTATGGAGAGTTACATCACTTGAACGCAAAATTTAGTGTCCCTATTTGTGATGCTGTTTAAAATGTCACAACACTTCGTAAGGACATCTGTGTCTATAGGATAAATCTTGATTCACAGTTTCAGATTTTTTGCAAGGGGTGAGATTTTTGCCGGGCTTACATGTGAGACGACTCGCAACAGGATTTTTGGTTAAGGTATACATTTAGCAAATGTTTTCCACGTGGAATGCGCATATATCAGTGATGCTTAATGCCTGTGCAACTGTGAAAAACTCGTGTATCCTGGTGAGTTTTTATAATTGACTGCTTGTCCCAATAACATCTTTCTGGGTTTTGAGTGACTGTGACCTCATTCGTTTGAATAAAACACAAATTATAAATAATCTATTATATATGTCATTCTATCAGTTTCTAATTTTTCCTCCAAGGTCTTCTACGAACGCCTTGTGCAACGAACAGAAGAGGAGGCTCGACGTATATTAAAATTTCTAGACATACCATGGTCAGACGATGTTTTACGGCATCAGGAGAAAATCGGAAAAGAAGTGCAACTAAACCCGTAAACAACCTAAGCTTGCCATGTAGTTTTATCGTAGTAAAATATTTTCAGCATGGAGTTTTCGACTTCACAAGTCAAGGAAAGGATTTATCAAAAGGCGTTGACGTCTTGGTTCGATTATTTTTCTGACGATGTCCTGGAAAATTTGAACAAAACTGCTCCACTTTTACGACGACTAGGTTTGTAAGGCAACAAGCGAATATTTATGCAATTTCTTCCATTATTTTTAGGATATGACACATCCTCCAATAGACCAAACTACACTTCATTTGCATCTGACACTTTTTATGAGAACTGGACTGCATCGCAGCTGATGTTTATTCTGAATCAAACAAGCATTCCATAATTTTTGTAAACCTTGTACAAAGTTCAATGTCTCTTCATTGCCTTTCCGTATCTATCCGTATTCGTTTTTTCGAAAAAAAACTTCATCGCTAACCCGATTGGACCGAACTTCCCACATGTACACTTGGGATGGCGTGGTGTCATAAGATACCACCGATTACGATTAACTGGTTTTTTGATTCTTGAGCAAACTTTGAACGGAGCTGGAAGTTGGTTTAAGTAGGTAGGCGTACAAGCCTATTGAAAATCCATTTGACTTTATCAATTTCATCAATTATTTTGCAACTTTGAGATGAGGTTTGAAAGCTGGTGCAGAGATGTAAGAGAGCTTGCTGATTACGAATAGAAAATTCATAGTCAAAGTTCTGATTGCCTTTGTTGATATTGGTCAAAAAAGTGACTTTGATTTGATTTGCACAATTACCTAGTAATTAATGTTTTATTGACTTCAATCATATGCATTTGAAAGTGAGAGCCAGACTTAACAATGTGAAAGTGGCGCCCCCGGACACTTCCTCAACACCAAGTCAAAAAAGATCAGAAACGAGAAACTCTCCTGAAAGTTGGGAGACTTACACATTAGGGTTGAGCCAGAATACGTATATGCCGCGTACGCGCCGTACTCAGACAATCTGTGCCGTAGCTCCGGAGGGCAGTCGAAATCTGGCAGAGCTGCGGAGGACCCAATTGACCATTGAGAGCGGGGCGAGGGAGCGGTCCCTTTCTGTGACGTCACGGTGACGTCACAAGAAGATAGGACCCCTCCGGCGGGCTTGCAAATCTCTGCTCCGGAGGTGCGCCAGATTTGAGAGAACCCCGGAGCACAGATTTGCGCTCCGGAAAAAATACGCCAGATTTGGGACACCTCCGGAGCACAAAATGGGAGGTCTCCGGAGCACAAAGTGGGAGGTCTCCGGAGCACAAATGGGAGGTCTCCGGAGTACGAGTGGCAAACCCCCGCTGGGGAAACCCCGCGGCTCTGCCATTTCTGCTCCGGAGGTATGCCGTCGACTGTCTGAGTATCTTTATGCAGATGTGCCGCTGCGCAGTCTGGCCCCATCCCTAGGGGAAGTTTCGCCCAACTGCAAATTCCAAATTGCAAGCTAAAGTGTGCATGCCGGTAGGTCAAGATGAGTCCAACAGCGACACTTCTCTCAGCGTGCGGAAACTGTTCAAATCGTCCAAAATTCGCAGGGCTTCAGAAGACGCCTGTTTCCGCGTTTGCGCACCTTTTAACGTAAACTGAATTTTAGACTCAGCATGGAGGATAAGCCTATAAGCGAAAATATTTGAGCTTTGAGTTTTCTCCAGGACACTCCTTCAACACTCGTTGACAGACATCTTTACTATCTAAGTGACGTTTTCTTCTAACACACCGTCGCCCTTATAAAGTAAGCATAAAAGATTTCTCTGCATACTTGTAATACCGCCTTACATTTTCATTCCCAGCACAATACCTAGGCCCGTATGCACTAACATCTTTGCGGCGAGAGGAGCGACGTCCATCGTTATGAAGTGACCGTGTCAAAAAGGTATGTTGAGGTTATCAAGAGTTCACATTACTGAGTGATGTTGACTACCACTCTTGCATCTGTCTGAATAAGGCTTCTTAAACCTAAAACATAAGACATAACCAAACAAGAAGATTTTCGTTTGGTTTTTGAATCCTATACTTACTTAGGAGCACTGATCTAGAGTGAAGCATTTTTGATATGCAACTAGCAAAAAACTCGAACAATGAACAATTGGCAGTCTTAGTTTCTAACAGCTGTGGAAAGATACGAGATTTACAAAGTTTGGCGTTCAGATAATTTACTTTTTCTCGTTAGGTGCAGCGCAAGAACGATGCACTCACTTGGAAAACTTGAACAATTGCTCTACCTCCACATTTTAGCCCATCCGTTTAGCTTTCCCGTAATCTTTCAATCACTCTTCTACTCTCTAATGAATATTCATGAAAGAAAGTAACATTCAAGCTTGGTCAACCTGTATAAATCATATGTTCTCATCAGATGTTATAAACTGTTGTACTTTTTATACAGTCTTTAGATTCCTCGTTTATCTGAGCGCACCGCTTTGAAATCAGATGATCCAAGTTCAAAAGAGTATCAAATGAGAATTCTGATATACAGGCGATTCATAGCACGCGAAGACTGCGGAATTATGATTGTCCTTCTTATAGAGCGCTCTTTCGCTTCCCATACCATCCGCTGTCTCTCCCATGCACGAACTATCTTGACCGGACGCGAGATGTTCAGTCTTTGCGTGCCATGTATCGTTATAAGTGTGTAATCATGTATGAGGGTAAAAACAGGCTGGTTATATTACAACATCTTGTTGCTTTTTGCAATAATTTCATAATGCCTTTCTCTTCAAACTCTTTTCACCGTGCGAATTCAACCAGGAAAGGCTACAACTGATGGCTTGACTTCTTTGCCGCTTGTTTCGCAGCATAGTTGATGGATTTCTAGCGCACTTCTCTAATCTGAGCAAGTCTAACCTGTTCATTGATAACAAATTAACATTCATCAAAACAATGTTCATTTTTGAAATTGTTCAATCAAAACGGGGTCATTATTGACTAAAACATGTTGAACTCACGTCGCTGGCATACCTTCGATAGTCTAGAGACAAAGCGTCAAAAGTGAAGGTTGTTTATAGAAGATCAGAGAAGAGAGAAAGACATAAAACGGATATAAAAAGCAAAAGAAACTGCTCAAAACCGGATAAAAACTCTGCAATGAGGTTTGAAATCTTTCATTTGGCGGCATTCAAAGTGCAGATTTTCGCTCCAGGACCAGCAATTCGCAACCCGGGGAAAAACGAGGAAAAGCTAATCTCGTTTATGTGATTGTTTCAAATAAATATTGTTCCGGAAGTAGTGGTTATCAAGAAGAAGATAAGCAAAAGAGAAATTAGTTATGAGAACACAAAGTTTCTTTTTTACTAAGTCGAAATACACGTCAAAGCCAGGTTAGTTTTAATGCGTCCTTTGAATTTTACGCCCCGCATTGACGTTCCTGTTTCCTGGGACGTTGTCTGGACTGTTGCACTTATTGTTCAGGCAACACCCACCCAAGCTGGAAAATAGCGGCGAAAGCACCAAAACAGAGTAAGGTAAAGAAAAAACGCATTTTTTACGATTTTTACGGAAAATTCCGCCATAATCGAAAAAATAAGCACTGAATTATTGTCTGCATTACCAACAAAAGCAAGGTCTGTGAAATGCATGAAAAAACCGCGTGAAAACAGTCAAACTAGCTGAAAAACAAGAGATTTTGGACAAGGTTTTTGCCAGATTTCTCGTTCAAATCAAAAAATGCGGTTTTGGGATGACGTTAGCGTAAAAGCAGAGATCAAGAGCTACAAAATTATATATAGCATGCTAGATTTGGGTTCGAAACAACGAAAAAAGGGTACCAGAGCCAAATGCTCCGCGCCACATTTGGGGAAGCGAGGTAGCGCGCAGCGCGCGGAGACGCAGACGAGCAGCGGAGACAGACAGACCAGAGCCGACGGGGCATTTGGCTTTGGTCTCCGCGGAGTCTCAACGAAATCCTGCAACATTATATATCATTCTGATGTCATGACACAACAGGAAGCACTGAAAACGTCCCAAGAGTCCAAAAACCACTCATTAACGAGATAGACCAGCATTCGTGCACAACTCTCTGCGCAAGATTTAAATGCAGTACATCGACAGAATGAGACGCGTGACAAAACAAGATTACAGGGTAGGAGCCCCCGTATGGAACCTATCGGCCAAAGTCCGATCTTTCTCTTTCTTCTAACCCCCAAAATTTCGCCCATCCCACCATGGGATGGGCGGGGCCAGAGAATACAGGAGATGAGCGCTGCTTCCGTTGAAATTAAGGGGGTTAGAAGTGGCAGAGAAAGATCGGACTTTGGCCGATAGGTTCCATATGGGGGCTCCTACCCTGTGACCTTTTTATCACGGGTCTCATTCTGCCGATGTACTGCCTTTAAGCGCAGTTGTCCGTTCTTATTCAAATCCAACAGCCTTTCTAAACTCCTGAAACTCAATTTTGATCAAATAAGAGGTTAAAATGTTGCCAAGAATTCTGGAAAAAAACTATCACAGAAACCTTTTTTAGCGTTAGAAAAGCTATAAAATGGCAAGGATTTGATTCTCGGATTTGCTGAGATAATCCAAAGATCTTCCCTATATTTGCTCATTTACATTCGTTCGACATAGTCAAAATTATAACATCTGGGGCTTCGCCCGTATTATTTTTGCTTTTCCTCCACATGAAGGTTGTGTCCTCTCATGGCCCTCAAAGTAAAGGTTACCAGAGTACATGGCTGTATGTATAGAGGGATTGGTCGCTAGGTAGGGCAATACAAATTCTAGTGAAACTTGCTAAACAAGTAGATAATATGTCAAATTTTTTTGACACGTGGCAGAAGGTTGACACTCCTTCTCATGGAGTTGGATCAAATATGGTACAAGGGAAAAAGCAATATGCTCTAAATAAAACTTCTGGATAACGGAAAAGTACCCCGTTTTGCATTATGAACACGTTTCGAGTATTCTTACGTCGACTGAGCTAGTACTGAGAAAGAGCGAAACTTTTTTCTAAGCAATCTAGTATCTTATTCTTATTTTTCGAAAGCCACAAGCTTTCGTAGAGGGCCTTTAACACATATTTGCAGTGTAATTGAAGGTACGAAAGCAAACAACTAAAACTTGGGTATACTGATAGTCTCAAACTTCTCCAGATTTTGGATTACCAATAAAAGACACTAAGAGATTTGCTATTCTTTGATTCATTGGAAGTGGCGAGTGGAAAGCGGGGCTTTGATCTCAATTAAGCCCAGGGAATGATTAGAAAGCACGCAGTCGCTTCTCCCGCGAGCGGTCGCACCGATGGTTATTGCGCCTTCGTCGTACAGTTGCCTATACGTATGTTTATGAAAAGCAAACTGCATTTCTGGATCAATCCAAACCAGGCTTTCCACACAACTTCGGGGCGGAAGGGC